TCTTGTGCCACACATCATCAGTAGTAGCTTGCTGTCTGTGAGAATAGTAAGCCATGAACTGCGGATTCTCCAACACGTATAGGTCCTTCTGCCTAGTGCCCTTGGTGAGAAGCTGTCTTGTCTGTTTGTCCTTCACAACAACACTATCAGAATCGAACTCAATAGAACAAGGGAAATCCTTTGTAAGTTTTGAAACAGATAGCAGAGAACGAGTTATAGTGGGACAAACCAGAACATCATTCAAGAGTATTTTACCTTGCAAACTAGGTAACACAGCAGTACCAACATGCGTAATAGGGAGAGACTCACCATTACCAACCAAGACAGAATCTTCACCAGTGTAGAGCTGAGACGACTGCAGCTGGGACTGCTGGTTTGTGATGTGTGCAGTAGCACCAGAGTCTGCACACCATTCATGACCAGAAGCTTGTTGAGCACGCAAAGCTGCTAAAGCCGTGTGATACTCTTCTGCCTGGTAAGAATGGTCGAATCTCTTGTAACATTTGTACGCAGGGTGGCCAAATTTATTGCAGATCTGGCAAGTTGGTCTACTCTCAGAGGAACCACGACCCGAACCTTGACTGATTTGCTGTGGAAAACCACGACCTTGAGTTGTGTAACCACCTCTACCACGAGATCCTCCTCTGTTTTGTCCTCTGCCTCTTGATGAGTAACCTCCTCGGTTGGAGTAGAACGCCTGATTAACAGAGACATCAGTAGGAGATTCATACGTGGTAAGCCTGTCGTTGAACCCAATGAGTTTGAACACCACATCTTCAAAGGAAGGACCAGGAAAAGCATCCATTGAGTTTTCGATGACTGTAGCAATAGATTCATACTCTCTTCCAAGACCTCGGAGGATTCCATAAATCTTTTCTTGTTCAGAGAGAGGAGATCCTATGGAAGCAAGTTGGTCACAGAGTAACTTGATCTCAGAGAGATACTCCGTAAGAGATTTGTTTCCCTTTTTAGTACTCTGGATACGACTCTGTAACTCAAGTTTTCGTGTAGGTGAAACTCTGTTGTACTTTTGGGCTAGATACAACCAGAGTTCCTGAGAAGACCGAAGACCATAGACGCTTCTGATTGCATCCTCCGACAAAGAGCCAACCAACCAAGCCATGATGCGTTGATCTGTACGGACCCACTTCGCATGTTCGGGGTTTGGTGTATCTTCAACGACGTCGCCATTTCGGACAGCAAGAGTTGGTGGAGGGGGAGGAGTAGCGCCATTAACGTAGCCTAGAAGAGATTGACTATTGAGAAAGTTTTCAAACTGAAATTTCCAAGAGAGGTAGTTTTTGTCATTGAGTTTTAGGGTAACACATTGAGTGATTGTTAAAGGAGCTGTAAAAGGATCGCTCTCCATGGTTCTGATACCATGAAAGCTTGGTGAAACAGAGGTTTCTTGATGAAGAAGATAACACTTTTATTCAATGTTTCTTGCTTAATATCAGAGATTACAAAGCGCAGATATATAAAGGAAAGGGTGAGCTTGAACACAGACAAAATAGGAGACAGCTCAGCCTGTGACAGCACACAACCTGAGGGTATCAAAACGGTTGAATAGCTGGAGGTCTTTGGCTCTATCTGCAGTACAAGGACCACCTTTTGACGTCACATAATCTAATCCCTTTTGACCGTTGCAGAACACACTTGTGGGCTTGATGGGCTGAGCTAAAGGCAGAGTTGAAGGCTGTGTAGAAGGCTTTACTGGGCTTGACGCTTTCAAGCTTATAAAACTGACTCATATATTAATTATAAGGTTAAAAATACACTTCTATTTATAAGAGGTTTATATAGTATCTAATGTGGTTTTCCCTTCGAGGAAACTTGAAGCAAAACGACAAGGACTCTAACAAGACTAAACAAAGTCCGGATTTATTGACTCGTAAATTGTTAACAAATGCGTATAAGTTTTATTGCAAAATAAAAGAAATAAACATAAACCAAAAATAATAAACGGACTAGAAATCATACTGAAATGTTTCCTTACCTGGACCGAAGTTTTCCTTCTTTAGTCATTAGAACTGGATGGGATTGGGATTGAGGTTGAACCGCAATTATCTGTGGAAATGGTCAGTCCGGTTTGATTCTTGCTGGTGCAACTTGATCTTCCGTCGTGACTGGACCGGCTTGATCTTAGATCTTCATTTGTACCATTTCTTCAATCAACAATTAGTTCTAGTCAGTTTGGTCTTGTCAAGGATTTCTTAGACAAAATTCAACAATCTTTCTCGCGAGTTCCAGACCGGATGGTTGTACCACGCCTAATTATAGGAACCTCTACTTTGATGGCTTTATCCTTATTACATAGGATGTTTTCACGACACATGTAAATATTAGTTATGAACAATCATTATTCACGTCTGGGACCTTATGATTAAGTGGTAAAGAAAAGAGTTTAGGAAGCCAACACGTTTCATGTTTGATATACCTGCTATGCGAAACCAAATTACATTTTGCCTAGAAACCTTACACGGATATGAGTCCTTACTTCTCGTGAGTTACACCTCTCCTTAGAAATTAGTATTTACTCATGTCGCTGTTTGGGTGAGAGTATTTGTTTGTTATGGTTTTACTCTTGTGCATCGCCTCTCACGTGTAACGCACGCAAGAGAAAAGCTTTCAAAAACTATCTAATGGTAATGCCAAATATTGGAAGCGGCCAAACGGCTACCAACTTTAAACATAACCACTCATCATTGGCTAGTGTTTTGCTTTTTTAAACTACTATATGTCCCCTGGTTACTAGGTTCATATTAATGTCAATTCTTATAACGGTTAATAGAACTTCTACACACACAAAATAACTTATCAGAAAATATTTGAATTTTCTTTTATGATTACATAAACGGAAGATTAACTTAAAACTGAGCAATTGGTATACAAGTAAGTGACATAAAGTTTGATAATATATCTATATGAATGGGTGGGAAATGAAATATCTTGAACAAGATCAGGAGATGAGTGGCTGTATAGAGATTACGACTAGTCCAAGTGATGGAGCGTAGGCAGTAACGAATTACTTTGTATCGCATAACTCTAGATCATACAAAGATTAAGAAGAGTAATTATCTCTTGTCTTTTGACTAGCTTCATTGTCAAGAGAGTTATCCTTTTGAAATATTATTTTTTACATGTGATATGTGTAATTGAAGTTCGTTTTATAATTTATGCGTTCATTTGGGAAATTTTCAACATTATTGATCGGTATAGAACATGATTGAATTTTTTTTAAGCCTTTCTTTTATCTCACCTATTGTATATCTTTGCAATGTTTAGTATCACATAAAATATATAATTTATGAACATTTAAATATCTATATATATAAAGTTTATATATATATGACACTTTTATATATATTTTATTCGATTTTGATGTATAATGTTGGCTTTAGGTCTTGAGTTCATACCAAAATTAATATTCCATTTTTATTTGTTTTTTTCTGATAGGATAAAATTTGTCGTACTCTTGAGTAGACAGCAACTATTAGCTTAGGTCAAAAATTTCAGAAATTGGTCCCTACTTCTCTTACATATAAATATTTTTTTGATTAAATAAATAATATAGTATGTGTATTGTTTTCTACTAATTGGTTTCTTACATAAGAATAATATAAAATTTAATTGGTTGGATTTTTGACAAAAAAAAAAACAAAATTGGTTGGATTCTCTTATCTGATCGCATGCCATTCTTTTAGGGACCACAGTTAGAAGTAAGTACTATCTTGACACGTGTCAAACGATATTTTTGGTCTAGATAAATGACGTCATCACGGTCCCTCCCTCTTTGCTTTCACATACAGCTATTCATGTACTAGTATATTTACACTCAAGTAAATTTAATTCAAAATATTTGCAGATTAATTTGGCTACTCTGCAACACCTATGTACTAAAGATAGTGGTGTATTTCATTATTATAAACTCAGTACATGTAGCTGCTGAGATTCAAGGGTCCAAACCTTTTTTTTTTTTTGGGTCCAAACCTTACGTATACGTTTCTATTCAACAAAACTGAAACAAATCTCAAGAGCTATTCATGGTGGTGAATGAGTTTAACCAATTCGTTTCGGTTTAGTGAGTTTCTTTGGAAATTGAAGAAGTAAGGTTCAAATATTTCCATCATGGTTTTAATTCTGTTGACTAAAGTTTCATATGAAAAAGATTGTTGATTTACCATGTCATGGAAAACAGTCATACATTTGAGTTCCTATTCTTTTTTTTAATTAGTAAAATGTAAATTAGTCTTATCCTCATTTGTACTAAACGTAAAAGCAAAGCAATAAGAAAATCCAAAATAATCTCTTCGAAAAATAGAAAATTCAATATAAACGGAAAAATATTTTGAAAGGAATGAGGAAAAGATGGTGTAATACTTTTCTTCTTACCGTCATTTCGAACTTAGTATCAATATCTTATCATGCTTTTGATGTCAATTCTCTACCATCTTTATCATAAAACGATAAAACTTTTGTTGTCATAGTAAATGTAATTAATTAGTATGTTAGTTAGACCTAATCCCATTTAATTATCAACAAAAGTTTGGTAAAATGATATACTCCTTATGTTTCATATTATATGTTGTCAAAGGTTTATAATGTTTTAAAATATAAAATGTTTTCAGATTTTATTGAAAAATGTTTAACTATTTATATTTTACTGTCCTTGGTTGAATCATTTTTAATATATAATTTAGTTGATACTTTTTCATAGAAAAGTAAGTTTTTAAATTTTTTTGGCTTTTAGACATAACATCTTATTTTGACCAAAAAAAAGACATAACATCTTATATTATGAAATATAGAGAGTATATAGAAACCGTCCTAAACAAAAGTGTTTAAAAAGAGATATACATAGAACAAGTTTTATACAAGAATAAGTCGTCTTTTTGTCCATCTCCATTTAAACGCTCTATGCACATAAAACTGAAACACTCAAACACATACATACCCAAACGCCAAACCTGATTACGTGAACACGAGTAAAAAGAAAAACAATGGCGTTCCATAACAATAATTTCAATCACTTCATCGACCAACAACACCAGCCTCCTCCTCCTCCACCGCAGCAGGAACATCATTTCCACGAATCCACACCGCCTAATTGGCTCCTCCGCTCCGATAACAATTTCTTAAACCTCCACACTGCCGCCTCCGTCGCAGCAACAAGCTCCCCCTCTCCTTCCTCGGCAGCTGCTAACCAGTGGCTCTCTCGGTCCTCCTCTTTCCTCCAACGAGCCGGAGGGGGCCTCAACAACAATAACGTCCGTTCAGGTGACGTCATCGAAGACGTTACTACCGGAGGAGAGGAGGCAATGATGAACGGCGAGAGGAAGGAGGCGGAGAGATGGCAAAATGCGAGGCACAAGGCGGAGATACTCTCTCATCCACTATACGAGCAGCTTTTGTCAGCACACGTGGCGTGCCTGAGGATCGCCACGCCTGTGGATCAGCTTCCTAGGATCGATGCACAGCTAGGTCAGTCGCAGAACGTCGTGGCTAAGTACTCGAATATAGACGCTGCTGCTCAAGGACTCATCTCCGGCGATGACAAGGAGCTTGACCACTTCATGGTGACTTAACTTCTTCTTCCTTCTCACCAAATTTCAATTTTATTTTTTATTTTTCATTATATTATTCCCTAGCCTTTTCTCTCATTAATGGTTTATTCTCTTCGAATTTCGAGAGAGAAAAAAAACAAATAATTCCATGTTTTAATTTTGTAAATAGTTACACTGTTTGACAAATTTGAAACTTATTTTATAATTTTTAAATAATTTAGAGAAGAAATGAAAAGCTCTTTCGTAGATTTGTACTTTGTACCGACAGACATGATCAGTGGTCTGGTTGGACAATTAGTCAGTTTAAGATTTGGAGTTTAGTTTTGTACAGTTGAAACTTGACAGCAGGAGGTTTTATTTTTGAGATAGATTTTGGTTGAACAATAGATTAGTTTAAAATTACGGTTATAGTCATCTGACAAAAGCTACATACTAGTTTGTCATTTTATGTGTATATCCATTATTAATCTTTGGAGTTTTTGATTAAATGTCCTACCAAATTTATATGTATCTGTTGTCTGAAGAATACTTCTATGCTTTTGTGCAGACGCATTATGTACTGTTGCTGTGCTCTTTTAAAGAACAACTGCAACAGCATGTTCGTGTCCATGCAATGGAAGCTGTTATGGCCTGTTGGGAGATTGAGCAGTCTCTTCAAAGCTTAACAGGTTAGTTTTTGACCATTTACCTAACATTTTACATTAAACTGTCATTTAGCTATTATGATAATTAACTCTTATTAGATTGTAGCGTTGAAAAATAACCAAAAATAATAATTTATGTGCCTCGGTAGCACGGATTAACGCTTGTTTGTTGGGTGAGATAGGAGTGTCTCCTGGTGAAGGCACAGGAGCAACAATGTCTGAGGACGAAGATGAGCAAGTAGAGAGTGATGCTCATATGTATGATGGAAGCGTAGATGGGTTAGGGTTTGGTCCTCTTGTCCCCACTGAGAGCGAGAGATCCTTAATGGAACGAGTTAGACAAGAACTCAAACATGAACTCAAGCAGGTAACAAAATGATATATACTAACCCCATCATTTACTCCTACATGCATATGCTAGCGTTCTAGTGATCTAATGATGTACAACCATTTTTTTTAAAAAGGGCTACAAGGAGAAAATTGTAGACATAAGAGAGGAGATATTGAGAAAAAGAAGAGCTGGGAAATTACCAGGAGACACCACCTCTGTTCTCAAAGCTTGGTGGCAGTCTCATTCTAAGTGGCCTTACCCTACTGTGAGTTCTCTCTTTCTACTTCTTCAACCACTCACGTGAAACACGCCTGACGCCTCAAGAGTCTCTTGTTCTGTTCCATGTAGCTTGGACCACATCACTTTTTTAACTGCTTCATTTTCCTTCTTAATCTTCTATAATAATAAATGAACGAGATACCATTTGGCAGGAGGAAGATAAGGTGAGGTTGGTGCAAGAGACGGGGTTGCAGCTCAAACAGATAAACAATTGGTTCATCAATCAAAGAAAGAGGAATTGGCATAGCAATCCATCTTCGTCTACCATCCCAAAAAACAAACGCAGAAGGTACTAACAACAGAACTGTAGGAAGACTTATCTAAGATAGGATTGGCTTGTTGACCAAATATACAATTACACGAATATGCTAATGTGACAAAGTCTACATAGGTTAAATATATAAGTTAGTGTGATGTAGCTTGTTTGGTATTTGTTAGATTAATATTTGGTTACATATTTTAGAAAATATTGAGTCATTGAATTTTGGAGAGTTTTTTTTTTATGTAGCAATGCAGGTGAAATTAGCGGAAGAGAGCGTTGAAGTCAGTTTGTAGCTGCGCATGGAGATACAAAACCAACGTAGAAAGTTTTTGTTTTTTGTAACATTGCATGGTTTTTGTGACTTCATATATAATCTAATTATCAGGGACAAACAAAACCGAAAAGACGAAGAATCAGAAGCATGATTTGTAATATGAGGTTTAGGGTGGAATTCACGATCATCTGCACTAGCAAGATATCTTGTTAATAACAAGGAGATTTCTCTTTTAGCAATTGTGCAAATTGGTTGGCCGTGCTATATATATATATACACATATTTTGTGGAACCACTTCTTATGCATGCTTTGCTAACCCGAATACAAAAATATTAAACAACCAACCTCCGTGTCGTTTACTATCACACTTTGGAGCTGCAAAGGCCGCTGGAAAACGAACGAAAGAGAAGACTTTCTCCGGTTGTCAATTTTTTTTTATTAAACACTTTTAAAAACTACATATTATGAAAAGATAGTTCCATTTTAGGGCCCTTTATATTTTCTCCGGTATCATCTCAAGCCTCTTGGGTTTCTTCAGTATCCATTACGGGCCTCGTCTCTCGACTTGCATCGCCACGGGACTACGCATAACGCATGGTTTACAGATATACTTCACCTGTATAAAATGCATGACGTTTCAGATGTAGTCTTCTGCATCTAGTCCATTCGATAAACTACGAGAGTGTTAATCGATTTATTCAAATCATAACAAAATCAGAATGGTATATAAATAAAATTTAGTACGATATTCAGATACCAAAATACACGACGGGGCACTTTTGAGTTGTAGGCGTTTGTGATTGGTCTATGTCTTCTACTTATTCGACAGTAATTAGAGAGGAGAGTCTATTTGGCTAGCTGGGCCAATTGTAAAAGACAGCTGTGTGTTAACTGTTATGCAACAGTGACGAAACAATGGCTTCTTCTCAAGAAAAAAAAAAAAGAATGACTTCTTCTTGTACTTATAGATAAATAATAATGTTTATTTCTGATTTACAATGATGAGTTAATGAAAGATTCGTTATCTGAAAGTGACGCTTAAAATATAAAGTGACAGAGATGATATAAAAAGTGCTAGTGGGTAAGTAGGGGATAAAGAATAGATCAGAGAGGACGACAAGAAAGTTCACATTTCACAACATTACCTCTACTCTATAATGCGCTTCTTTCTGTTTTCATGTTAAGCAATTCTGAACTTTCTGATATGATTTTTTTTTTTTTTAATTTCTTGAAACTTAACTTCTATCTTTTTGTTTTCATGTTAACCAATGTATGCTCAACTTTCTGTATGCTGAACTTTCTGCTATGAACTACATTCGAAAGTTCTCGATTGTCTTAGCATATTTGTTTTTGTGTAAAATATCATATAATATCACATCAACTTTCTGATATGATATTTTACACCAAAACAAATATGCTAAGATAATCGAGGACGTTCGAATAAAGTTCAGATTGGCATCAGATAATTCATTTCCCAATATTTATATTTTAATCTTGCAATGTCGAATTTAAGTTTGTACGGCGACATTTGCAAGTGGAGATCACGACCTCTTAATCAAATTGAGTATTTAATAATATAACTTTGACATTGATATATTCGTTATTGGTGACACGTAGGATGCAGTTTATCTATCTTGTTACAAGACGAGCTGAAGTTAACCAAACAAATTAATCTTTATGCATATATTTCATACATTTAGTAACATATTCAATGAGGATGACTAAAATGAATTTTTGGGGGATCAATTCTAGCAGTATAAATCATTCGTTAGAGAAAACTTAAGTGGGTTAATTAGGTTATATACTAAGAAAGATTTGATGCATCAACAGAGAAAGAGACATGTCGACTGGTGGCAAGTAGGGCTACATAACATCCCAAACATCAATACATGTCAAAAAGCGTTTTTGGTTTCTTTCTCTTTTCTTCTTTCATCCACACTTCACTTGATATCACACTCTTATCCTCAGTCTCTCCCCACACTTGTTTAGTGTTTTGTTAAACACTAGATAAATATGATTATTGGCCTCCGCTATCTTAAACCGGCTTTAGATGCTTATGCTCTGGTCGTGGCAGACGGCTCACCAAACAATAATTTATATAATCTTCGAAATGTAAAGATAGATTCTTCAAATTATTTATTTATACTATATTTTAGTCCCATTAGCTGAACCAGGTTTCTTGTGTTCGAAAAAGTATAACCAAACTTTTTTTGTTTGTACATGTGTTTAATACTAGTACTTTAGACTACAATAATTTTAAACATTTGATAAGAATATAAAATATCCTTTAAAAACCGTGCTTTTCCGCAGAAAAAAAAGAGAACTAAATTACTACATCGACTTAATTTGGCTTTTAAAGTTCTGATTGACATTGAGACCAACTCGAGAGTATCACACACTGTCTTGCACTCTTGCTCTCTTGCATGCGACGACGGTCTCACAAATCAATACACATAAATTCATCTTCCTCTTATGCCGATCGACAGAAATATAATTTTTTATTTTGCTTTGTTATAGTCTTAAACGTTTTAGAATCTCTCATAGTTATCTACATTTGTTGGAATGTAGCTTTTGCTATATTGATTCATAACTTCTCAAATGCATATCATTCAGAATCTTCACTTGATTTACTTTTGATTATTATATAATCCCCAGCTCACGAACTTTCCTCATCATTTGCAGCTGTTACATACTGTTGGTAACTACATTAGTGACCGGCTAATACCAACTCCAACTATGCATGTTTGATTGACTAGGGTTTGTCACTACTCACTAATCACATTTTAAGACTAGAGACCGATTAGATCTGTAATAGTAAAGCAGATGTTTTTCTACAATGAAAAATCAGAGATATATATAGAAAATATCTTTTTTTTTTCTTCACACATCAATCATATTCATATTACATGTAACTAATCATTATGCGAGGGCATTTACATATATATAATAATGACGTCATATTGCGATACAATTTCTCATTATAGAAAGGATCAATGAACCGGTCAGAACAAGATCAGATCAACCGTCTTCGACCTAGTTTTCCCCACCGGAGACGCAGGCAACCTCGCCGTGAAACTCGGGAAAGAACCGTCCTCGTCCGCTCGTACATCGTCCTCGAAATTAAGCGCGTAGCTCAACGCATCGTAGCTGAAATCTCCAGGAGAACCCTGGCTGTGGTGTCTTTGATGATGATAAACACAATTGTTATTGCGGCACGTAACCTTGATGCGTGTCTTGACGCGTCGGCACCGGTCTCTGATCTCGAGCTCATGCGCGGTGGATTTGAGCCACTCGTAAGGAGATTTAGGAGTTCTCTGATGACCGATGATCATGGCTTCAGGCTCAACCACCGCGTTGGCTCCTAAACAGCATATCGGAGTTCTCATTCTGTGACCTCTCGTTGATCTAGCGGAGGACGGAGAGGTGCATTCATTGTACATATCGTGGATCTTGAGATTCTTGAAATTTTTATAAGAGAGATTATGTTTTTTGTTATAAAGAACCAGAAAAAAGGACGAATGGTATGAGATTAAATAGGGTACAAATTAGAGAAAAGAATATCCGTGGGTGGAGCGTGGGCTTGGGCCTGGTCCGCGTTTTCTAATGGTTTGGTTTGGTAATCATATTAATTTTTTTTAATGCTACTTGTATTATAAAGAAGTTTTCACAAATAAATTAATTAAGGCTCAAGTGTTTAATGATTTGCCTTGCTCTTTCAATAGGACTTTAACAACTGCAAAAAAAAAAAATATTCTTACGAAAATATGCTAGTTAATTTTTTTTTTTTAATATCACAATTGCACTGATGTCTTAGTTATTACTCCCTCCATTTCAAAATGCTTGTCTTTTTAAACTTAATTATTTGTCACAAATTAAGTGTCGTTTTAGAGTTTCGAGACAAAATTTATAAGTTTTATATAATATTATATTTTTCTATTGGTTGAAAAGTGGTTAGATGTATAGGTAATTATGTTTTTATTTTGAAAATATGTAAAATTAAATATTTACTTAATATGTGTGTAAAAACCTAGAAGGATAACTAAAATAAAACAGAAGGAGTATAAAATTGTCTTATTAGAAAAGTTGTTAAAAAATAAAACAATTGTCAAATAGTTTGGTTACGCCTATATAAAAGTCCATTAAAAAATCTACTAGCCAACATGCACAATACTATATTGTCGATGTAGTTTTTCTGGAATCACTTGTCGTTTTGAGTGAAGCGTGGGACCTGGTTCAGTGTCTTTGCCATTTTCTGCTTTCTGAAGAGATTCAGTAGTGGAGACATGAGATTGCGGAGGTATTTGAAATAATAGGATGGAATGGCGAAGGAGACATTGGACCAAAATTAAAAGTCGCCAAGTTTCTCTCTTTGCTTCATGTCACCTACCGGAATTGTATTTCTCTGTTTTAACCACTCAGGGTCACTCATTACTAAAGGTACAATTATTTTAAAAAAAAATCCGCGAATCTGTGAAAACGGTAATGATAAGAATGCATTTATGGAGTCTAGGTTGGTCGGTAGGTGGGTGTTACAACTTACAAACCTAAGTACTTGTACTATCTTCAACGGAAAACCACCTTAGTTGATTGTAATTAAACTAATATACTTCCAAAAACAATATAAACAAAAAAATGTTAGGAAAATAGTCAACAACCTTTCGAAACTTAGAAATTACAATCGCTTCCTCAAAATTTCTTCATATAGTAAAACAAACAAAAAAGAAAACAAGTAACTATTGATATAGGTTATGAATGGGAGGGGCAGGACAAAGGCAGATCAAGCAGTTCTCCCGCAATAGGCAGTTCTCCTGCCTTATGTTTACCATTCACCATTTTCTGTTTGTAAAAGTAGTTCAAGCGGGAGATTTGCATGCAGTTCAATTTTTTTGTCTTTTAGTAGAAAAAGCAGAAGATCTGCATGCAGATCCCATCCGCTAACATTTGGTGGTGTTGATCTGCCTTTTTTA